TTTTTAAGGGAAGTGAAAATGAAAAACCCCACCCAAAATAAGAAAAGCGAAGGGTCAACTTGATTAATGGTAATGCCATTTCCTTAATAGAACGTTACAGATTAGTCAAAGCAATGGCATACCCCCAACTACGAATACTGTTCCAAATGATTAAAGCTTTTTAGCATCCAACAAGTACTGCAAATACCCTCCGCATTCCCTTCCTTGGCACCAAGGCACACCCCCACTTCCTCCTCTCAAATTAGCATCATCTTCACTGATCTATTTCTATTTTCGGAGCAGAAATGGCGAGGATCTTCGAAATCAATCTTGCAAAATATCACGAGAGAAAGTTGAGGTTTCATTATGATGGGCAAGCACTGCCTGCAGGTGATACAATTTTGGACGTGAGGGGTGGTCTAGGAGAAACATGGGAGTTTTTTTGCAAGAAGGAAGGATCTAACGATTTCTCCATCTATGGAGATCAATGGAAGCGTTTTGCTGCGTCCAGACTGAATGCTACGATTACTCTTTCCAAAGAAGATAATGAGGATTTCTACAGAATTGAAGTGAGGCAGTCCGTCTAGAAATAGGGAAAAAAAATATGTAAGTCCAGTCATGATCTAAAATATGTTTCTTTTGTTTATCATCTTGCTTTAGCAGTGGACTACTGTGTGTGAACCTAAGTTTATCATCTTGTCGCATCCTTGTCCTTTCAAATTAAGTAGTACACAGCACCATTTCACAATGTATCAATTTCAAAGATGCTGTGAACAACTTTGAAAGGGCATGATGATGAACTAGTCGTCTAGTTCATCATCTTCCAAAAAATTTTTCTTTATTATTATTATTATTATAATGAATGGTAGGTGTTTATGATTAACTAGCCTCTTTTAGAATTTCTTTTTCCACTCCACTCCCAAGTTTGTGGTGTTAAGGGCCATTGCTGTATTGTTTTGATTATTGATAAGTTTTGAAGAATCATTTTGCTTTTTATGATGTTTTCTTTGATTCTGTTGAGTTGTTTTGTATGATGTCTGCTTTGGTTTTCGGATAAGATAAAGGTTCGGAGGGTTGGCTTTTTGTTTTCTGGGTGTCTTATTTTTCTAGGTTTGGAACATTATATACCTCTCATTTTGCTTTCTTATTACATGAACTCAATATCTTGGCCTAAAAACACCAAGGCTTGTTGAGTTCACCCTTAACTGAATCATGGAAAAGATAATTCAAACATCGGTTTGAATATGTAAGTCCGATCCAGGCATGATCTAAAATATGTTTCTTCTGTTCATCATATTGGTTTAGATGTGGACTACTAAGAGTGAACCTAAGTTTATCTACTTGTTCCATCCTTGCCCTTTCAAAGTTGTCCACTTTATCATTTCACAATCTCACAATTTCAACGATGGTGTGGACAACTTTGAAAGGGCATGATGATGAACTAAACGTCTAGTTCATCATCTTCCAAAGTATTTTTCCATAAAAATTACATTGATATTGAAATTGACCAAAGGCTTATTATCATTTCTGGCTTTTTCTTCTGTTAATAATCTTGCTTTAGGTGTGGACTTCTGAGGGTGAAACTAAGTTTATCATGTTGTTGCATCCTTACACTTTCAAAGTTGTTCAAAGCATCATTTCAAAACCTCACAATTTCAAAGTTGTTAGATTTTGCAAAGATGGTGTGGACAACTTTGAAAGGGCAAGATGATGAACTAGATCTTCCAAAAAATTTCCACAAAAATAAATATTACATTGATTGAAATTGACCAAAGGCTTATTATCAAGCTTTTTCTTCTGTTAATCATCTCGCTTTAGATGTGGACGCACCCTTGCAATTCAAAGTAGTAGTCCAAAGTCAAACTTAACTGCGAATTCCATGCAATTAAAAGAAGTGTTGTTCTTTCTCTCTCTAAACTGATGTGCTATATGCATGCATAGTAACTAGGAATGTTAATTAGTTTAATACCTATAATTTTGGCCAACATGCCTTTGGGTTAATTACCTATCAAAATATTTGACATAGAACAAAATCAGCGGCTAGATGAGAATCAGTTTGGTCAGGGGGTCTTGTTATTTGATTTACAGCTTGCTGTTATTCGTGGGAGCTGTATTGTTGATCAAAAAAAAAAAATCATCGATCCCAACAAAATCTCATCTGGCCATATACAAAGCAATCCAGCATACCTGCAATCTCGCAGCAGGCCTGGCTGACAACTGGGAATATCCCCACTTTAGTATCTAATTTTTAAACATTAATAAAATACTGGCTAATCAAAGGACAAAAAAGAAAGAGAATCGCTTGTAATATACCTGCCTTGGACCCCATTGATTACGTCTAGATGTGAACGGACTGTTGCCTTGGACCCAAAGCTAAAAGCCCTTGTGCTTTAGCCATTCACATATGGTCCCTTGCATGTGTAACACACCCCCACCATTTGTAGAAGTGGTGTGCACAAAAGGGCGTATGCAAGTGTCACGGCTCGAGACATGACTCGCAGGTTCAGTTTAGACTCGGCACCTAACACGAGCACACATTTGATGGACCACTCTTGGTGTCGTTGCTGTCACATTCCTCAAATATGAGAAGATAGCTAATGGCTCGAGAGTTGTTGAGAGTTGGCTATGCCTTCATGATCTGCTGGTTGTGGCTGTGAGCAGATTGATATATCAGTGACACATCTTGCAACCCTTTTAATCTTTTATAGCAGATGGAAAGAGCTGCCTAACTATAGCTTCAAGTTTATATATATGAGATAATACAGTCATTATAAGAGATCTTAGTCCCCTATATATGTTATTGAAATATGTATAATCCATGTTTATTAGGATATCAATAGCTGTGAAGCAAGAGTAGTCAATTCACCATGAGGTGAATTGGTGAAGGACAATGACCTTGATCATGCTAATTGCCTTTAAAAAAGATTGAAAAGAAAAAGCTTAATGCATATTTAACGCAACTCAGCCATCAATACACAAAAACATCACTGTAGCCATAAAGTTCTGACAAGTGATATGAAAATCATATACCTTCCATCCAGGCTTGTTGGTCCAAGGCATATGTATGTCAAATTGTTGCCTGTGGGTGCAAGGCATTTGAATGTCAAATTGTATCACGTGTGGGTCCAAGGCATATGTACCATCTAATCTCTATCTATCCCTAGCAGTGTACCAAATGCCATGGTTCATGAAATATAATTTTGTTTCTCGATCAGTGGGCGCCCTGCTATAGGAGATTATATGCAAATAGTGGTACATTGAATGTGTGCCCGTTTGGAGGCAACATAGACAATAAACGTCTTTTTAATAGTTGATAATCTTGTATCGTTAGAATCTGAAATACCAATAGGTCTAAAAAACATAATCGTAACTATATTTTTCTCCTTTCGTATAATGCTATCAATATCTGTTTCACTCTCTTTGCTTTAGTGGGCACATCCACAGAGAGGATTTCTTTGACACCTTGCCTCTTGGAGGTTTCACTGCTAAACTTGCACTTTGCAAGATATCAGCTATGAGTTAATTTGCGCTGACACATATGGCTTTGTGCCCCCACATGACCCTTAACTTTGCGAAATATATCAAAGACTTGTTCACTGTCTCAAACTTTTTCTTCAAAGATTACTCCGTTTTTACATAACGACACAAGGATCAGATAATGACAAAGAAACCCATATTCCACATTCGATTCTGTCCCTCGAAACATCATTGCCCCACCATCACAACTATCAGTATCACATCTTACATCCCGACTATCACACCAGGTACACCAGACTTTTCATGTTTCCCAACCATTCGTTTGTCTCTTTACTTTTTTATTTTTGCATCTGTTACTGGTTTTTACTCTCTGCTTTTTGCCACCTAGTTGGAATGACCTCTCGATTTATAGGATGTTAAGATGTGCAGCTTCATAGAGTTTTCGGGACAGCTGGCATTGCGGAGGGCCAGAGGGACTGCTACACAATTTTTTTTACTCAAACAAAGTCCATTTGTATTAATTAAGTAGCTATAAAAAGTCTCACAGTTCAAATTATTGAGCAGGTACACTCCTGAAAGCACTTGATGATGCATTCTCTAGTGAAGATTTACAGAAATAGCACTTAGAAATTAAAGAAAAAGGAACAACATGTCCCTCAGAAAATAAACACAGAAGCAATAGGTAAAGAATAGACAATAACTCCAGCCCTATAGAAGATAACAAAAAAACCGTGGATCCTTTCTCATGAAGAGATCAACAGCTTAGTCCCAACGGAGAGAAGGCTTCCCTCGGTCGACTGCCCCGGCAGCAAATGATGACCACTTTAGACGACTGGGGTGTTTTGCTATCTGCCTGCTCAATGTGGACATCGTCGGTTTTAAATTCATTGTTCACTTTTGATTTAACGTAATGCCATGCACGAATGTCACTTTTGAGATCACTGATTACTTGGGCCTCTATGGGTCCTAGCTGTTTCTCTTACTTCGGATTTCAGCTCAGAACAGCCACATCTATAGTTGATTGAAACCAAAGTTACAAAGTTGGCATATAACACCAACATAGTGGTAGATCATGCCATTTAGACTAGGATTAAAGGGTAAAAGTAAGGGGAAGTTTGGGTAAAGATTTTAAAATTAAATTTTAGTGTTACAAAGTAAAAGAGTTAATATAACGAGGATGTTGTATGATGAGTGAAGTAAAATATTACGTATCTCATATTAGTAAGTTATGATATAATTCTTAAACTTATAAATAAAAAATTTCTCCACTTAACAAATATAAAATATATTTTTTTAATTAAAAATCTGGTGATATTATAACCATGCTACCATCTTTTTTCTGTCTTTAGGTCAGTCCAAATCTATTATACCAGAACTTTGCAAATGGATTTGGATAGCAATGGTGAACCCATCTTTGTGGGCCCATTTCCCAGCCTAAATGCCTGAGTCAAGGCCCATTAATATGTAGATGGGCTCCAATCTATATTTTTTCTGGGCCTTTCAAACTATTTGTTTTCGGGACCCAAACCCCTTTCAAAGGGCGAAAAAACCCTACCCCCGATAACTCCCTGAGAAAGATAGTCGGAAAGTAGACAATCGAAGAGAAAGAAAGGAAAAGGAAAGGAAAATGAGAGGGAAATTCTTGGTTCTACGCCAAGCTTTCAACCTCCAATCGACTTCTTCTTCTTCTTTTCCTCTGAAAAATAACTCAACTTTGATTCCAAAAGCCAATCTTTCAATTTCCAGCACACGGGAAAACCTCAATGCCTTGACGATCTTCTCACAATTTTCCAGAACTTTCTGTTCCTCATCCTCAGGTATTATCATTCTCATTCGATTCCAATTTTTTCTTTTTTTATAATTTTTTTATTAAATGTAAATTAAAGATGGGAATTTTCGTTTCAGTTTCGTCCAATACGCGACAACGATCAGCAAGGCTTCCATTTGTGGATGCATTTTTGTCAAAAATAAAGAAGAACAAAGATCTTTTAGCCAATCGGAAAATTTGGTCGCGTAGATCTACGATTTTGCCGGAATTCGTGAACCAGACTGTTCGGATTTACAACGGGAAAACTTTTGTTCGTTGCAAGATTAACGAAGGCAAAGTTGGTCATAAGTTTGGAGAGTTTGCTTTGACTCGGAAAAGGAAACATTTGAGAACCAAACAAGAACCTGCAAAGAAGAAGGGCAAGAAGTAAATGTCTGACCCCTGCATTTGCCCCACCCCGAAATCGACAATCCCAGTTCGGTAAGATTTTGCGGCCTAATTATTCTTAATTGGTCTTAATTAGTTAATCTTCCCAGTAAAATGAAATGTTGTTGATTTTGGTTGAGGTTTGTTTTAGGGTGTATATGGGAGGTATTAGGATGATAATCAGATCACAAATTTTGTTTATGATTTCTGTTCTACTGTTTGGAATGAGGAAATTACATCTCCCAAGTTTCTCCCTTTTACATTAGCTTGTCATGGTTGACTAGGGGCTTGAATGTTGAAAGCAAGTGTTCATTGTGTCGGAATTCAATTTGGTGATATAAGTACACTCGAAGTCGAAGTAGGACATACCAGAACAGCCAAGGAAACCTGTCTGAAATTCCTGGTTTATATAGAAATCTGAAAGTTTTTGGATGGCTGCCAACAAGACATTAGTACATTCTTTGTACTGAGGTATGAGGAAAAAACACATTTTCTTTTACATTAGATTGTCATGGTTGAGTAGGAGCTTGAATGTTGAAAGCAAGTGTTTGTCGTATTGGAATTAGAGCGGGTGGTATAAGTACATTTGAAGTAGGACGTACCAGAACAGCCAAAAAAACCAGTCTGAATTATGGGTTAATGTAGAAATCTGAAAGCTTTTAGATGGCTGCCTGCGAGACATTAGTATGATGATATGGTCTTTGTATTCTAAGATTATGCTAATCCTACTTTCATAACCGTTGATCGCCATGCAATATAATTTATATCCGTACTTTTACAAGTTGCTCTCAGTTCAAAATGCACTTGCCTATGTGATCAGCAAAGACTCCCATCATTACTTACTTGACTCTCATGTATTAAGGCGCTAGATCAAGAAAATGTTGAGGCTTAAGACAATAGGCAGCTTCATTTATGCAATTAATTTCTGTTGTTCATTTAGTGACATGAAAGACTCAATCTCTCTATTTTCTTCCTTTTCCGTTTTGCTTGTCTATTAGATTGTCATAGTTGAGTTGTCAAGAGGAAATGTCCATGCTGTCTATGTTATGTTTTCAATTGCTGGATGGTGAGTTTTTCGCTCCTTTGTCTTGTTTTCCAGGAAGGGAAGTATTATTCCAGAGAACGGCTTGATTTGATGAAACCTTGTTCAAGCAATTAAAGGAAGAAAATGGTTTTAAGGTCTCATTTGTTACATGATTGTAAGATTTTGTTTGGTCAGTTGGCCAAAGTTAGCATATTTTTTAAGTTATCCTTTCTCACAATATACTGATCAAAAGTATCATTTGAGAAGCAAAAGTTGGGATGTTTTCATGGTCCACGCAGGTTGATTTGGCAATAAAATTGATGTTCTCAAATTCTACTATGTGAATTGCTGCTAACAATAGAAAGAAAATGTTTTTATGATTGGTAGAATTATCAGGACATGTTGCTGCTTGTATGCAGATTCCTGAAGAGTAAAATCCACCAAATGGATGATTGATCGAATACATTGATGATAAATTCAATGGATTGATCCTTGTACATTCTTAATAAGTTCAATCGTTCAAGTTGATAAGCTCAATAGATCGAATTGATGTTTGACTTAATACACATTCCTAGTAAATTCAATCATTCGACCTCTATACATTGTTAATAAGGTGGCAATAAAGTGGCGTTCGGTATTTTACAATATAATGTGATTACAGGTAATGTGATTGCAAGTAATATGAATGTAGAAAAAATAATATTATCAACAATATTTGATATACAAGTAAAATAATAATTAAAATGTAGAGAAGATAATATTATTTATAAAAATTTTATTGAAAATGTAATGTTAATTTTTAAAATTATTTTTATTTATTAAAATATAAATTTAATATATTTATATTTATTATTATTAATTTTTATATAATATTATTTTTAAATATATTTTTGATGTTATATATTTTATTTTTTTATTATTATAATTTTATATATTTTATTATTTTATTATTATAATTTTATATATTTTATTTTTATTTTTATTATAATTTTATATATTTTATTTTTATTTCTTTAATATAATTTTTAATATTATATATTTTATTTTACTTTTTTTAATATTATATAAATTTTAATTTTTTATATTTTATTTTAATATTTTTTATTTTAATTATAACATTACAAAATATTTTTAATAAAGTAATAAAATTAGAGAGTAAAAATATTTTTAATAACATTATATAGAGTAATGTAATGTGATTGTATTAATTTTATATTGTAATTATATTATATTTTTTATTATAATATAATTACATTGTAATCTTACATTGTAATAGATTATTATAAAATAAATATTATAATATAATTTAATTAGATATATTGTAGAGAATGTAATTTTATTTTTTTTATATTAAAATCAATTTAAATTCAATTGATCAAATCGATAATTGATGTAACATGCGTTCCTATACATTCCTAATGAATTCAATCGGTTGAATTGGTCGAATGCACGTTCCTAATAATCTTACTAAATATTTGAACGAAAGCATAAATCAGCAGGAGAAGCGATGAAGTGTGAGGCAGAAGGCATCCAATGAGCCGAGGGCAGAGGCAGCTCCTACCGACCTCCCAACATGACAAGTGGGTTTGTTGACACATTGACCCGCTAACCATCTACGCCCTTTCTTTGTTTCCACTTTTCCTCAAAGATCCCACTGTTCCTTATTTATTGCCTAATATATTGCCAATATTTGTTTCTCATGTAAACTAGAGTTACAATAATCACGGCCTTACCCAATGATATAAAGAAAAACTAAAATAAAAATTAAAGGAAAATACACCCACCAACCCCCCTAAAATATGTACTCTATAAAATAATAATAATAATAAAAGCAAAACAAAACAAAACTCTATAGTTGCACCCACTTAGCAGAGAATCAGCTTGCACTTTGTGTTGAAACATAACACTACCACTCACACAACACGTACAAGTACAAATCTGCTAGAGTTGAGGGTTGGTTGCTGTTTGAGATTTACATTAGAATGGCTTCAAGAATGTTGTGGGCTTCAAGGGCGGCTTCTTACCTCAGGATCTCTGTGTTCCATAGAGGGTTTTCTACCGGTAAGCCATTTACCCACACTTTACTTTTCTTCTCGCACTCTATGTCTGTCTTCTTTTTATTGCTTTCATGGTTTCTTATGTTTGTGTAATGATCATGCGGATACTGATACGGGAAAACGGTTTTCTGGGTGTTGATGGAAATTAGGATCTCACTTTTGTGATTGATCGAAGATTTTACCTTTACGGAAAAAAGATTTGATTTTTAATTTATTGGGTTGTTCTTCTCTTATGCTAATGCATAGTGTTAGAGTTTTTAGATTTCTGTTTTATTATAGATATATGTCTCCCCAAATTTGCCTAATCTAGGATTTCGTTCCTGATCAATCATGTGTAGTCATAGATTCGGAGTTAATACATTTTTTCTCTCGATTTTGATTTTAGAAAACGTTCTAGAGATTAAGAAAGGAGCCTAAAGCCTTCATTTTTGTTCTCTATAGAGCATTTGTAGAGTTAGAAACATGTTTAATACTTGACACTAGAGTATTAGGAGTGAGGGGAGTCAGGTGGTAATGACAGTCGGTGTGGCGGAGGGAATAATGGCAGCTGGCAAATATTGGTGCAGGTGGTTGATCATGGTGCGATGCTCATGAGAATAATGATGTTAGAAATTGTCCCGATCATTCCCTTATTTGGAGATGAAAAATAAATTCTCACAAAACCAGGAAATGGCAGGGCAACCAACTGAAACTTATATGCACCTTTGTATGCACTATTTCCAATAACCACTTTCATCCCTTTGTGCAGTTCACTTTTCTTAATATCAGCTGTTGGTTTGACACAACAAATAGAACTGAGAGCAAGGGTTGGTGTAGCTGACAACTGATTAATGGGGTGTAACGCATATAGATTGGATTATTTATCTATCCCTCATATTTATAAATGATTCATCATGCTATACATTCCCATAGCCGTTAGGTTTTGTCTGTTGTTAAACAGAGTTAAGTGATATTCTTGGATGGTTGCTTCTGTCCTCAACCTGTGGTGTGTATATTATCTGTTATCTTAGACCTATGAACTTCTGAATTTTATAGTACAGTGGTGACTTATCTGTATCGTTGAGCTTTACATCTGGAATTGAAAACCCTTAGCAGAATGTGACTGTGTTCACCATGACGTAACTTCAAACTTTGCTCTCTATGGAAGGATGATTCATTGTTTGTTGATAAGAGCAAGAAAGCATCTAAGAGCACAAGTCCTTAATGGAGTATTTTGTTTAAGTACATGATGAATATCATTATGATATTTATTGTAAGTATGTTCTATGAAAAGGTCATTTATTTCCCGTGATCAGCTGCAATTTGCAGTTTTATTTATGTCTAGAGTTGCAGCTACTTGATCTATTTTCCCTTGTTAATTGTTGTTCATGTTACTGCAGCTAATGCCTCTCTTCTATATTCCTGCAGTTTTAAACGATCTAAAATATGCTGATTCTCATGAGTGGGTGAAGGTTAATGGTAACTCTGCCACAATTGGTATAACTGATCATGCTCAAGATCATTTAGGTGATGTTGTGTATGTTGAATTACCTGAAGTGGGAGCTACTGTAAAGCAAGGTGACAGTTTTGGTGCAGTTGAAAGTGTCAAGGCTACCAGTGATGTTAATTCTCCTGTTTCAGGAAAAGTGGTTGAAGTTAATGAAGAGCTCAGCAACTCTCCTGCTTTGGTTAGCACTTGTATCCTATCCTATACTATTTCTTTCGATTTTTTTCTTGCTTTTTCTTTTAATTCAATTATACTAGTTGGGCAAGTGTGCCTTCTGAGCTGGTTTTTTATTTGCATCACATGAACTGTCCTCCTTTATGTGTGTGCTTGTGAGCATGCACCTTATTATTTGTGTCTTTGCCAGGATGCCTGTGTTATGCCATACATCTATGCCTCTGAAGTTCCATTTTTCCATTTCTTGAGGATGGTAGAACCAACATCCTGTTAATTGCTCCTATCCAAAACTTTGGTCAAACACCCCAAATCTTCATGCTTCATTTTTCACTTGTTTACTGAGCTTAGCTACCTTTACCTACCTACCTGAGTCACTATGACAACCGATTTGCAATGAGCGACAGTCTTAAACGATCATTTGTATGTTATAAATATGTCATTTAATAGCTGTATAGGGCATCATTTTAGTTATATTCACTTTTGCTTACCATCTGCAATCTTTGTTCAGGTTAACTCAAGTCCTTATGAGAATGGATGGATCATAAAGGTTGAGATGAATGACGCCGGGGAGTTAAAGAACTTGATGGGCTCAGAAGAATACTCCAAGTTCTGCGAGGAAGAAGATTCAAAGCACTGACCAGATGCCCTGGCCATTTTGCTGAGAGGGATGCTATGCAGAGAGGGATAATAGCTACATCCGGGAAGCCAACTGGTTGAGAAATGTAGCTTTCTTGTTGATGTTTCAATCAGACCATATACCTTCGTGCCCCCCTAGCTTGGGTTTTGATTTGGGTGTCATGTTTTCTTAAAGCTTAGATCAAGTAATAATGATTTTTGGTTTGGAAGTGATTTATCTATCACTTGTATGGCAAATTTGGGTTTTGGTGATGGAAATGGTGCTGGTCAGCATTTTACAAGATGCTTCATTAACGATTAAACAAGTTGAGGTAAAAGGCAAAATATTGATTACTTGCTTATACAATGTTCGAGTATCTTATCAAATAATAAAATTCAGAATACGTTATTTAAAAGATAACGAATACCTTATCCAAATGATGGCAGCTAAAAGACGATGAGAGAAGCAGCACAAGGAAATACTTCGTTTGTGCAATACTTAGTATAATGCATAGCGAGTAATGTTTTTGCACAGTGTTGCAGAATTATTATTCTAATATAAAGTTAATTTCGAAGACCCTTTGTATTATAATTTTAATTATTCCATGAGATTGAGGCTTTTCTGATATTTATGAATTGTTTTAGATGGGCGCCGGACTCGTTATTGGACTCGCCCGAGTCTCGTTCACCATTTCTTAAACCCTTTTAAAGCCTCTCAAGGCTCCGAGCCTAAAATTCTGAAACCTGGAAGAGCCACGGAATATGTCTGTCTCGTCCTCACTTTCTCTAATCCCTCAAATTGCTTTCTTCTCTGCAACTGTAAGTCTCTCTGCCTCTCTAATTATGCCTGTTCTTTCTTCTACGCATGTTTACGTTCAATGATGACGTGGGTACCGTTGCAGAACTTTGATGGGAGTAGAAGAGGAAGAGGGCTGTTGAGAAAACCGCTGATAGTTAGGAGTTTGGTGGTGAGAGCTGGTCCAAAGAGGATATCTTTCGGGAAAGATTGCAGAGAGGCATTACAAGCTGGGATTGATAAGCTGGCTGATGCTGTTTCTGTCACCCTGGGACCTCGAGGTACTTGGCCCTTCTTGCTTTTGCCTTTTTCTTCAATTTGGTGCTCTCTTCCTTTCTTTTCAATTTCGTTGAGTTATAGTTGCTTCCTGAGAAGAGGTTCAAACAGGATTACAAGGATTTTGGAAGTTGTAATTACATCATCAGAGGGAATGCTTTAGTTAAAGGGTGCTTAAAGATAGAATCTTTTACCTTTCTAGTAATGCTCAAGTATTTTTCTTTGTGTAATTATTTCTTAAATCAAATGTTGACCTCAGGACTTGTCTGATATATCCTATAAAAATGCTTCCTTTAGTGTGAAGCCTTTATGCCTTTTGGGCATTAGACAAGACTTAGCATGCTTTGCACTGCCTATGATGCCGAACCAAATGAAGAAAGGATATATCTTAAAGATGTGGAATTTCAGTTTCATTAATATGGGCGGTACTGCATACTTAATATGAATTGCTAATCGATTTTGGGTGAACCATACAGGACGCAATGTTGTTCTTTGTGAGTCTGAGACACTGAAAGTAGTTAATGATGGTGTCACCATTGCTCGGGCTATAGAGCTTTCCGATACAATTGAGAATGCAGGAGCAACTCTAATTCAAGAGGTCATTCATGGTTGCTAGATCTTCCTCCCTAAGCTTGTATGATTTATTTTGGGAAATAAACAAGGAGAGACATGTAAGTTTTATGTGCCTGAATGCAGGTCGCAAGTAAAATGAATGATTTGGCTGGTGATGGTACTACCACTGCAATCATTTTAGCCAGAGCCTTGATCAAGTCTGGGTTGTTGGCAGTTTCTTTTGGAGCTAATCCTGTTTCTCTGAAAAAGGGAATGGATAAGACTGTAAAAGAATTGGTCAAGGCCCTGAAGAAGAAAAGTTTTCCAGTGAAAGGGAGGGACGATATAAAAGGTTGTCAATTATGTTTCATATGGATTTGCTCAATGAATTGTACACTTTTGGGAAAAATTGCTAATTTGGAACTCTTCATTCTTTTCACAGCTGTGGCTTCAATCTCTGCTGGTAATGATGAATTTATTGGGAAGTTGATTGCTGAAGCTATAGACAAGATTGGCCCTGATGGAGTAATTTCTGTTGAGTCATCCTCATCCTCTGAAACCTCTGTGATAATTGAAGAAGGAATGAAGGTGGTAAAGCTGACTCTTGCTGGCCAGTACTTTAGAAGTTCTAAAAGAAACCATTGATTTGTGCATAACATCACAAGTTATATTTTCGCTAAAATTGAAATGTTATTTAGTCTTAGATTTAATATTTGCTATTTGCAGATTGACAAGGGATATATGTCACCACAGTTCATAACAAATCAGGATAAGTCTCTTGTGGAGTTTGACAATGCTAAAGTCCTTGTAACTGATCAAAAGATTTCAACTGTCAAAGAAATTGTTCCTTTACTAGAAAAGACTATGCAACTGAGTGTCCCGTTGCTCGTCTTTGCTGAGGATATCTCCATGCAAGTACTGGAAACACTAGTTGTGAACAAAATGCAAGGTGTACTTAATGTTGCTGTTGTCAAATGTCCAGGATTTGGGGAGGGAAAGAAAGCCCTGTTGCAAGATATTGCCCTTATGACAGGTTAACTAGCTTTTATGCAGGCTTTATACAAATCCACTGATTATCAGCCATGTCTTCTATAATCAAACTTCTTTTTCATATATGCTTTATATAATTCCACAGATGATCGGCTGTGTCTTCTTTAACAAAAGATTTTATATGAAATCTCATCTGGGTGCAGTGTTGTGTTTTACATACTACTTTTCCCTTTTCATTATTATATTGTCTAATTTAGACATTGAATTCCCCTAAATTTCTCCAGTGCCTCATTTTATCATCTGAAAGTATGAATGTCTCTTTGATATGCTTATGGAGATTGTTTTATATACATTGCACTATGACGAGTGGTTCTTCAAAGTTGCATTCAGTTTTATATGCTGGCAAACTGACATCTTCTACATCATTAGGGGCTGATTTTCTTTCGGGAGATTTGGGACTGACACTTGCTGGTGCAACGTCTGATCAGCTTGGTGTTGCACGAAAAGTGACTATAACAAGTAATTCCACAACCATAGTTGCTGATCCTTCTACTAAAGCTGAAATCCAGGCAAGAATTATGCAGATCAAAAAGGATCTAGCTGAGACTGATAGTGCATACATGTCAAGAAAGCTCTCGGAAAGAATTGCTAAACTCTCTGGTGGTGTGGCAATCATTAAGGTTTGCAACCATGACAAATAGCAGACACTGAGATAGAAAGGCAGGATTAAATGTTTTACTATTCCCACAACTCCTCCTGCTTCAACTTGGTTAAACAATGTGCATCTTAACTGTAGGTAGGAGCACATACTGAGATGGAACTTGAAGATCGTAAACTAAGAATTGAAGATGCAAAGAATGCCACATTTGCTGCCATGGATGAAGGGATAGTACCCGGTGGTGGTGCCACTTATATACATCTTTCAGAGCAGATTCACATGATAAAGAATTCTATGGAAGACTCAGATGAACGGATTGGTGCCGATGTTGTAGCAAAAGTATACATCTTATCCCTTAAGATATTATATGTTGGAGTCAACTGTCTGTTTATATATATTAAAATTAAAGTCTTTGAGTTTATTGTTTCTTCCTTTTTTCAATTTAGTGTTATTAGATTGCTTAATGCTTACTTTTGTAGTTTATAAAGGATTAAATTTTAACAATTGTTTGATAACTGCAGGCACTCCTTGCACCTTCAAAAGTAATTGCAACTAATGCAGGCATTGATGGAGATGTTGTTGTGGAGAAGACTAGAATGTGTGATTGGCAAATAGGGTATAATGCAATGTCCGGAAGATACGAAGATCTTATCAATGCTGGAGTTGTAGATCCTTGTCGAGTTTCAAGGTTTGCCCTACAAAATGCTGTCTCTATTGCTGGGATAGTTCTAACTACTCAAGCTATAATGGTGGAGAAAACAAAGAAGCCCAAGCCACCTGTCCCTCATGTCCCAGGAATAACTCCTTAAAGAAAAGGTAAGAGTAGAAAGCAATACAGGTAGATGAAAGCTGAAGTAGCCAAGACAGAAGCCACCAAGCTGTTTTTGCAATGGTTGCAACCAAGCCTGTGATTCCAGTTTGCTTGGTTTTTGAGCCAAAATGGAAACGTGCGCCTTAACATTTATAGCCTAAATGAGTGTACTGAATTACAGTACTTGTAACACTAAATCTTTTTGTTCATGGATTAAATCAGGGCGGGCCTTCACTTTCCTCATTCTGCCTCCTGAGTCCCTCCTAGGCCCCTTTCCACCCTTTTCCTGCCTCTCCTGCAGCTGGCAGCCCAATATGTTCCTTCTGTGAAATTTAGTTAGCTGTTCTGTAAAATTTATCTTAACTGATGTATTGGATTTGTCAATTTTGATGAACTAGTTTTGATACCAATTACTGCACAGCCTAGCCAATAATGTATTGAGGGGTATGCTGTATTCTGTCGGTGCTCTGGAACTACTAATGTCTTACCACTTCCATGAGTCCAGGGACTTGTAACAGTAGCAGGAACTAATTTTATCAAGCTTACCTTTGCAATGATGCTTTGGCCACCACCATTGACACCATCTCTGCATCATTAGCACCAGCAGCCGCCATCAACATTGTTGCCACTTCCTTATCATTCATTGCTATCATTTGCCTGCACAAAACCATTTTCATCATTGCTTCTGCTAATGTTACGAAGAACTCATCAACAAGCTATCATCCATTTGTGATAGTTACCGTCAGAAATCGGTGAAGGGGGCATTTCTATATAAAATTTCCATTTTTCTCTTTTCTGACGAGAAAAATAAGTTTCAGTGACATCACAAGGACGAAAGAAGATCAATGATATGTTTGTTAACATACCACCATATCGTCAGTAAAAGTACCTTTCACCTACCATTTGGTGAACTCTTCTCAAGACTTTCCCTGGTTTTTTTCTTCTACTTTACAATTAATCTGTTGACAATCACATGCTAAAATGTGAGCAGAGAGCAGACCCTATTTCTCCTTTTTTGCAGTTTAGATATCTTGGTCCAAGGCTAACCACTCCTAGGAAACAGCATTGAAGAAGAACCAATGGCAATCCATACTCCAGAACCAGTTCAATCAGTCAACCAAAAGTCCAATGATTCTTTGAAACTTAGTTAAAAAATTAAGTTTGTGGTCTTTATCACATAACCACTCTGTTCTAGGAAGCAATCCTACTACATAAAATTAAACCTTTCTTGACATTTCTTCAACAATATTCAATTTAGCAACTTAATAAAC